TTGAGCGGCCCGAAGGACGTCAGCAGCTCCTTCACCTGCGGGGACGGGAGCACCGGGATACGGGGGGATCGGGGATTCCCCCAGGGGATCCGGGAATTCCCCCAAGGGATCTGGGAATTCCGGGGGTTCGGGAATTCTGGGGGGATCCGGGAATTCCAGGGGGTTCGGGAATTCCAGAGGGATCCGGGGATTCCAAGGGATCTGGGGTTCCCTTGGGATTTGGGAATTCCCCCTGGGATCGGGAATCCCCTGGAATGGGGGAACCCCCCCCCAGGGAGGATTTTTGGGATTTTGGGGATATTTTGGGGATTTTTGGGGGGATTTTTTGGGGGATTTTTTGGGGATATTTTGGGACATCTCCCGTCCAGTTTCCCGGGATTTTTTGGAATATTTTTGGGGATATTTTTGGGGATATTTTTTGGGATATTTTTGGGGATTTTTTGGGGATATTTTTGGGGATTTTTTTGAGATTTTTTGGGATTTTTGGGGGATATTTTTGGGGATGTTGGGGGGGATTTTTTTGGGGATTTTTTTGGGGGGATTTTTTTGGGATTTATTTTTGGGATATTTTTGGGATATTTTGGGGCGTCTCCCGCCCGGTTTCCCGGGATTTTTTGGGATATTTTTGGGATTTTTTTAAGGTTATTTTTTGGGATTTTTTTGGGGTATTTTTGGGGGATTTTTGGGGATTTTTTGGGGATATTTTTGGGGATTTTTGGGGGCATTTTTGGGGGATTTTTGGGATATTTTGGGATATTTTGAGGCGTCTCCCATCCGGTTTCCCGGGATTTTTTGGGATTTTTTGGGGATATTTTTGGGGATTTTTTGGGGGATTTTTTGGGGATTTATTTTTGGGATATTTTGGGGCGTCTCCCGTCCGGTTTCCCGGGATTTTTTGGGATTTTTGGGGGATATTTTTGGGGATTTTTTGGGGATATTTTTCGGGATATTTTTGGGGTATTTTTGGGATAATTTTGGGATATTTTGGGGCGTCTCCCGTCCGGTTTCCCGGGGTTTTTTTGGGAACCCTGGGAATTTCCCCTCCCCCCCTCACCTGGTCGTCGTTCAGGTAATTGGGGAGGCCCCCGATGAAGAGTTTGTGCGCAGAGTCCGGGACCACCGTGGACACCACACCTGGGGGGGCCAAAAACCCCAAATCACACCTGGATCACCCCAAAATCCCCCAAAATCCCCCAAAATCCCCCCAAAAACCCCGAAATCACACCTGGATCACCCCAAAATCCCCAAAATCCCCCCAAAAACCCCAAATCACACCTGGATCACCCCAAAATCCCCAAAATCACACCTGGATCACCCCAAAATCACACCTGGATCACCCCAAAAACACCCAAAAATCCCCCAAATCACACCTGGATCACCCCAAAATCCCACCTGGCAGGGCCAAAAACCCGAAATCACACCTGGATCACCCCAAAATCCCCTAAATCACACCTGGGGGGGCCAAAAACCCCGAATCACACCTGGATCACCCCAAAAACCCCCAAAATCCCCCAAAAAACCCCAAAATCACACCTGGATCACCCCAAAAACCCCTAAATCACACCTGGGGGGGCCAAAAACCCCGAATCACACCTGGATCACCCCAAAATCCCCAAAAACCCCAAAATCCTCCTGGATTTGGGAGTATCCCTGATTTTGGGGTGATTTTGGGCAGTTTTTGGGGCAGTTTTTGGGGCAGTTTTTGGGGCGATTTTGGGCAGTTTTGGGGTGATTTTGGGCAGTTTTGGGGTGATTTTGGGGTGATTTTGGGGTGATTTTGGGCAGTTTTGGGGTCACTCACCGGGTACATACACCGAGGGATTCTCAGACATCCCCGGCAGCGGCTGGGGTGATTTGGGGTGATTTTGGGGTGATTTGGGGTGATTTTGGGGCAGTATTTTTGGCAGTTTTGGGGCAGTTTTTGGGGTGATTTTGGGGCAGGTTTTGGGGTGATTTTGGGCAGTTTTGGGGTGATTTTGGGTCACTCACCCGGTACATACACCGAGGGGTTCTCAGACATCCCCGGCAGGGGCTGGTAGTCGTGGGGCCGGCGGATTTTCAGCGATTGCCCCTGGAAGATGATCCCGTCGAACGCCATCGCCTGCGTCGTCTCGTCCACCGAGCGGAACTGCCGGCAACACCCCGAAATCACCCCAAAATCCAGCCAGGAACCCCGAAATCACCCCAAAATCCACACAGGAACCCCGAAATCACCCCAAAATCCAGCAGGGAACCCCAAAATACACCCAGGGAACCCCGAAATCACCCCAGAATCCAGCCAGGAACCCCGAAATCCGACCAGGGAACCCCAAAATCCAGCCAGGAACCCCGAAATCCACCCAGGGAACCCCGAAATCACCCCAAAATCCAGCCAGGAACCCCAAAATCACCCCAAAATCCAGCCAGGAACCCCAAAATCACCCAGGGAACCCCGAAATCACCCCAAAATCCAGCCAGGAACCCCAAAATCACCCCAAAATCCACACAGGAACCCGAAATCACCCCAAAATCCAGCCAGGAACCCCGAAATACACCCAGGGAACCCCAAAATCACCCCAGAATTGGGGTTTTTGGGTCAGAATTGTGGTTTTTGGGACAGAATTGGGGTTTTTTTGGGTGAGAACTGGGGCTTTTGGTGCCATTTTGGGTTTTTTTGATGCTGATTTGGGTTTTTTGGTGCAGATTTGGGGTTTTTTGGTGCAGATTTGGGGTTTTTGGTGCTGATTTGAGTTTTTTTGGTGCCAATTTGGGGTTTTTGGTGCCATTTTTGGGTTTTTTGGTGCTGATTTGGGTTTTTTGGTGCAGATTTGGGTTTTTTGGTGCTATTTTTGGGGTTTTTTTGGTGCCATTTTT